ATGTCACCATGTGCGCTTAACAGGGAGTCAGCAGCCAATCATAGCTCCCTGACTCACGGTCCTTGGCTGCATGAATGTGTGCAGAACACCTGTTTGTTGCATTCTTGCTCTATGTATTCAAATGTATGTTTCAGTAAGGTGATATTTTAAGCAGATCTGTTCAGCACTAGCACAAGGCACAGCCAGGCAGCAGAAATGCGAACTTATTCTTGTACACAGAGGGTAAATCTATGCAATGTAACTTGTTTCTGAGTAGGATTGTGGGCTGCAATGATGGCAACAAGTAGGAAAGAGATATTTTGACTACAAAGAAATGAAGCGACCAAGAAACGAAGGGGAGCTGTAGAAGGATGCTACAGATTGTTGCCTCCAACTGTCCGTCAACTGGATCTTACCCCATGTTCACTAAAAGATATGGAAAAAACGTTTTGTGCTTGTTTGCTTCAGAGCAGCAAAATACCTTGAAGGATCTTTTATCACTGTTTCATGTGTTCAAGGCTGAAGCTTGGCAAAGACTTTTAAGCTTTTAAAGTCTGAGATCCTGACTCAAATTTAGCCAGAGAGGCACTGTACCACTCACAGCACAACAAGAGCAAGTGAACATCCACCCACACCATGTACTTTTCCCTTCCCCCAACGCAGTGTGTCTGCCAGATGCTGCTAGACAAACTCCCAGACCTCCTCATTTTTCGTGTTGCTAGAAGGGGCTGATGGATGATGAAGTCTCACACAACTGGAATGCACTAAATTGGCCAAGGTTGTTGTAAGCAACAAGTGCACGTTGAGACTAAGGAATGGCCACATGGAAATGTGATTACATGGGCACACAAATGCATATACTGTACACAAAAAGTCTAATGATAGTGTGCACATAGAATCATACATGCACACACATGATATCTATTGACAGCTATACTTTCTTGCCATCCCCAAATAACTCATATAAATCATGAGCATAGGAATGGGGATACTGACATGTCCCTTGAAATGTGGATTTATTTGTGCATCTGCACAAGCACGCGTGCGCACATACACACAGAGAGAGAGAGAGAGAGAGAGAGAGAGAGAGAGAGAGAGAGAGAGAAAGCACAACTTGCAAGAATGTGCAACCCAGAGAGACACAAACAAAAAGTGACAGCCATCAGCACAGGGTGTATATGTATTACGGAAACATGGACTTGCATCCACATGAGAGCAAACATGGATGTGCATAAATTCCCAAGCACTTCCTTAAACTGAATACACCAACAGGCAGACAAAGGAAAATGTATGGCTTCCTGCACCCACACAGCCTTGCAAACATTACTTTGGTACCTGTGGAGATAGAGATAAAGACAGATAGACAAACGGGTGCCTCCAGATGTAACCAAGCGTTTGCACAGGCTCGCCCAGTGCTCAGCATATACACACTATGCCCACGGTCATGTATACAAAGGCACATGTTATCTATTTAGTGCTCTTCACCTTGGGGGGGAAAAAGTGTTCTTTTACAAATGTGTGCAGCTGCAGAAGCATAAAGCCAACCACACCTTAGAAAACCCACGAGCACAGTCACCTGGGTTTCTATCATTTCCATTCATTCAGTACGCTGGCAGATGCAAACAGCCTTGTAGTCAGTGTCATCTTTTGCACAACACACACTCTCTGTCCCTAAAAGGGGATGCTGGTGGGGGTACAGGGATGCATAGCACACAATCTGAAGAAAACAGTTGGCCTGCATTCCACATCACCCTAACCCCACCCCATCCCTGCCTTCTTCCTATTCCTTCAACTCAGCTTCTAAGTGTAAACAATGGATCTAGTTAAAATAGCCTCAACTGCCTCTTTCCAGCACAAACAAGGAAGCCCTTCTTCACCTGCTGGGTTTTCATTTGTTTCTCTCTAGTACACGTACAGACAGGCAGAGACCAACGCATCTGCATCTCTACACACAGATCAATAACTCCCTGACACACTTCAGGCCATCCTCCTGCAAAAGAGGCCATAGCTCTGTGGCAAAGTGAACGCTCGGCATGCCGAGGGACCCAGATTCAGCCCTGCTGCCTGAGAGGGTCAGGGACCAAGCGATGGGAGAAAGTCATACCTGTAGGCCCTGCAGAGTCACTACCTGTCAGGTGTGACAACAGTAAGAGAGCCGCACAGCTATGGTGTAGACCTACAAATAGTCCGACTTGACATAGGTCAGCTTCCTACATACTCATAACTTTGTCAAAACTTGCTTATAGTGCATTGTGGTTCGGATCCATATTAGTCTGGAACCCAAGCACATTTATACCACATCTATTAGCCAAGAAAAAAAAAGTAGTTTTGTCAGGACACGTTTGGTTCTCCATATATTTTGGACTACAACTCCCATCACTCCTGTCCAGTAGTCATTCTCTTTGCTGCTTCTAGAAACTGGAGCGCAAAATATTTGAGGGGCTAATCATGGTTTTCCCGGCCATGCCTGAAAAGGATCATCTTCCCCACGGAATAAACCTCTAACGGTGTGACTACAGTAACTATTGTTCCTGCATTTCTCAGGGCCACTTTACAAACATGACCCTTTCTTCCACACGGCTGTTTCCTCCTCAGTTTAAAAGAAAAAGAAAATATTGAGCATGCCATTGTCCCCTTTGTTTCCTCCCCTCCCCCTCAAGAGAGCTTCACCCTCAGTTTTGGGATCAAGAATCCCAAAGGCCAACTCCCAAGACCAAAAAAACAAACTTGGAGAAGCCGAGGAATCGAGAGACCTTCTCCATGCACACCTTCCTTGTCCTAGACAGTCGTCTACATGGGGAATTGCCCAATATTAAATACTCTGCCTGCCTGTTCCTAGAGAACACGATTAATCTTGGATTCCAACACACACACACACACACACACGTACTTAATCTCTACTCTAGTGCCTGTCTGTATTTAAAGGAGTCCCCACGAGGGAAGCATGAAACTGCCCAGCATCAGAACAGGGGCACAACCCTCTCCTGTGCTCACGCTTCCCACGAAGGATTCTAAAGGTAAACAATGCCCACCTCCCTTTTATCCTCCAAACAACTGCAATAAGCTCTGCCAGCTGCACAGATTCTAGCGTTTCTAACTAGGGCACGGAGACCCTGAGGAAGACACTCCCATTGTCTATGCTGAGGGTTCTCTTATACACAGAGGGAAAGGAGAGGGGGGAAAAAAACAGAGGCAGGCAAGGCACACGGGAGCCTTTTGTGATATCTATGCATTTGAAACCTTCAAACCTGGCCACAGGTCACCACAAAGCTTTAAAAAAAACATGACCCAGTTTTTGTGCAACAACCCAGCCTTTTTTTTGCGGGGGGAGGTGGCAACAGAGATCAAAAGGTGGCATTTGTTAGAGCCAACCAGGCTACTCCTGGAGGTGTGGTCTCCTTCCCATGGACATCCTGCTCCAAGGCCCTTTGCCAGGCTCAGCTTTTTAAGCACCCTCCTGCTCAGCCGTCTGTCTCC